TTGAGTCGATCTGCCAGGCATGCAAGAAGAGGATGATGTTGGAATGCGGAAAGGAGGCACCGGAGTTGTCGACGTCGACAGCATCATCGTCGTCCACTGCCTCCCCCATGAGTGAGGGCAACGAGCCAACAGGCTGAGGCTCAGGCATGGCAATGGCAACGGGTGCACAACTGGTTGTTGGGTAAGAGTTGGCTGTTCACCGAAGGGGTGATCAGTTTGAGGGGCAAGTGCTCCGAGGACTGTGCGTCGATCTCTTCCGAGAGTTGGATAAAAATTTGGTTGTCTGGGTGATCTTTTGTATTTGAAATTTGTGGCAATTTCAAGTTGAGTTTGGACTCATTTGCATTTTTCAGTGACTTGTGTGCACATTCATTTCTTCACGTTCAGACGTGGGGACTTGATTGAGTTGTGAACTCACTGCATGATGGCTCAGACCTTAGGGTGCCATCTTGTCACGTGGAATTGAAGCACGTTCAGACGGGCTCAACTTTTGTTTCAGTGTGTTTCATCTCTTTCATGGAATTCCACATGTGCAGTTTTGAACCGTGTCACTTTCCTCAGGTTGCTTTTTCTGATGTTCAGACATTTCTCACTGTTGCATTGTTTTGGATTCTTGGTTTCTTTTGACATGTCGTCACTGTTCCTGAAGGTGATAATTTTGATGACTGTGTTTTACTGACATTTTCACCACAGCAGCATCCTGCTGCGCACCTCGCTCGACTGGCGCGATGGACCCAGCTGAACAGAGAGAGTTCATAAAAGACAACATGGATTCTGATTTGCAGTTTATCCTTGGTGACAGCGGCGTTTCCCTGACCAACCAAGTTTCGATTGCAAGGCACTATGGATCACTTAGGAAGTTCAATGCGCTTGGAGATGATAGGCCTGCAGTTCGGACAGCATGTTTACAAGATTTTACAATCACAGCTGATACCCCAGAGAACAGAGCACAGATTGCTGCGATTGTCTCTTCATGGGAAACTGCAAAAGAGTACCTTTCAAAGGAACTGGAACTGAGGGCGGAGGCGAAGGTGCTTGGCCAACCTAGGATCTTACAGATTCATGAGCGACAGGCAATGTTGAGAGCAGTGGAAGCAATACATGGATCACTAGGAGACTCCGATTGTCCAGCAGCTGACTATTTGAGTTTGAAGGCTGAGGAGACTGAGGCAAATGAACCAACAGCTGCACCTCTTGACGAGATCATCAGCAAGTTGACTTCCTCGAGCTCTTCAATCCAATCAACAGTCGACGGCTCAGGTCACATCAGAGTTACACGTAACAAGACAAAATCAAAGATGCCAAGCACCACAGAGGAATATCGTAAAGTGATGAAGGTTGAGATGTACGCTTGGTTAGCAATGGCCTCAAGGTACAAGTCTAAGCATTGGTTGCATGGTTTGACTGCCGACCCCTTCTTGAAGTTCGTGGAGTATATTTTGGGGGATCGGGTTTACGGGATACAAATCCCAACTTCAGATGGATCTCAACAGAAGCTGCGGCCTGACTGGTCGATCATTTTGGCGTACGAGCAGAAGCTTCGGAAGGAGGCAATGAAGCTTGTGATGGAGGGCCACACCATGTCTGATGCCCTGACCTCAGTGATCAGAGATGCCGATTTGAAAGAGGCATATTTCACGACACCTGTGGCACTGAAGGCTTCGTTGACGGATGCACAGCCCCACAAGTGGCAAAGGTTCAATTCAAAGGGGTCATTCAACAACACTTCAAAGGGCTCCTTTTCAGGCTTTTCAAAAGGGAAAGGAAAGGGGAAGAGCAAAGGCAAATCTTCCAATGCTTCAGATTCGCGTCTGAAGGGTCTGAACCTTGCATGGCGCACACCTGACAACAGGGAGTTGTGCTTCGCGTGGAACTCAGGAGAATGTTCTGGGGCTTGTGGCAGAGTTCATCAATGTCGGGTCAAAGGCTGTTATGCAGATCACAAGGCCATTGAGCATAAGCAGAAGAAAGATTCGTGACAGATTACAGGTGCAGCTGACCCTGGCATGGCTGCACCGCCTTCTTCAGGTCTTACAACACCTTCAGACGGTGTACCACTTGTCAAGGTGATGTATCTATTTGCTGGGGGTAGACGACGCTCTGACGTTGCAGCTTATTTGAAAGAAGCTGAGGCCTCAGGGAGGATACGTTTAATTCTCAAGGAATTTGATGTGGAACGTTCACCAGAACATGATCTCACCAATGTTGCATTATGGACTGAAATCATTGAAACCCTTGAAGAGGGACAGTGGTTCATCATTGTATCACCGCCTTGCAATACGTTCAGCAGGGCTAGATTTCAGAGGCGGCATCCAGGTCCAAGGCCGTTGCGGACAAAGGCTTGGCCCAGAGGTTTTCCATGGTTGAGCAATGCAAATAAACAAAAGGTGGATGAGGCAAATTTTTTCGTTGACAAATGTCTTGAAGCTTGTGAGCATGCAGTGAATTTCAATGGATATTTCATTTTGGAGCACCCCGAAGATTTGGGAGTGGTGGATGAGGAACATCCTGGTTCAATCTGGCAATGGCGAGAAGTTCTCGACCTTATCCCAAAGTGCAAGGCAAGTTGCTTTGCTATCCATCAATGCAAGTTTGGAGCCATAACACCTAAGCCAACGAGGCTACTGACAAATCTGAAAGTTTCGGACAAGCGTTGCTATTTTTCTTTACCACGTTTTGACAAGCTGGGGTTTTACAAAGGACCACTCCCACGGAAATGCGGGCACAGGCATTCACATACTCTTATTGGTAAGACTGGCACCAGATGGAATACCAGCCCAAGCGCAGCATACCCACCACAGATGTGCAAATTCCTGGCAGATTTGATTCTCAATGCAGCCGCATCCTTCGGTGGGGGAGCAGAGAATCCTATCAAGAAGGTTAACAAGAGGCCCCACTTTTCTGACTCACCCGCTGCTTCCAAAACAAGAAAGACAGAGGTTACAAACACAATTCAAGGAAGCTCGAATACAACAAACAAGGACACTGTGCACCTGGTACAAGACTCTGATGAGGAGGTTTGCACAACAACAGTTAATACAACAGCCAATGCGATGGGATCAGGTGAGTCACCTTCCAGCAGCATCGTTCCTCCTGGTGAGTCACCTTCTGACGTGGGGGATCAGTTTGATATGAAGGCATGCTATAATTCTGGCACTCCCATTCAAGTTGAGTGGGACAACTCTGCACATGGTTTCATTGATGGGTTTGGCTTATGCAGCCCCACAAGGTGGAGGCCTCAGCATCGGGGAACATTTAGGCCCCCAGAGATGGTACAACTGGCAGATGCGACTTTTGACATCCTTGCTGAATGCGTGGACGAGTGCATACATGATGTGCGGTTGGAAGCGTTCAAGCTAGTCACTGGCAAGTTGGAAAGTTCTCCATTCAATGAAACCTCACTCTTGAAGCTCAGGGATAAGTGGGCCGGATTACTGCCTGACCCAGTCGATGCGAAGGTGGTCGACTCTGGTCAACCATTTTACTTGCGTGCGCTGGCCCAGTGGTTGAGACTGTATAAGGATCCGGATGTTCACTGGCTGATGGATGAACCGGATTCCTTTGCAACAGGTGTACACATTGGATTTGAGCAACCACTTCCCCGTTCTCCTCAAGTCTTCCCGGAGAAGGGCAAACACCGAAAGATGGATGAGACAGAATTTTGTCCCATTGCCGATAATTATCCCTCTGCACAGATCTCCACTGGTGAACTGGAAAAGAAGTTTAGAGAGGAGGAATTATTGGGACGCATGCACCCTTCAAAACTTGGGGTGCTCCGTCAGGAGTATGGGGACAAGTTGCGGATTGCATCGATGGCAGCAATTTCGAAGCCTGATGGGTCAGTGCGGCCGTTGCATGACGCAACGCACTCTGTGATGGTGAACCACGAGATAAGGTATCAGGACAAAATCATTTGCCCAGGACCTGCAGAGATCGCTGGGGTGGTTCGTGAATCGGCTGAAACCCAAGAAGCCCCATTCTGCGTGAGTGCAGATATCAAAGCAGCACATCGTCTGGTTAAGGTTCGAAGATCTGATTGGGGTTACCTTTGTTGCAGAGCCAATTCATCATCAGACACCGTTTGGGTGAACCGCGTTGGAACTTTTGGCGTTTCCAGTGCTCCCTATTGGTGGGCGAAGTTGGCAGGTTTGATAGGTCGGTTTGTGGGGTACATTTTCCAGTCAAAGTGGTTCATGCAGATGATTTATGTGGACGACTTGCATGGCTCATTTGTTGGCGCAGAGAAGTTCAGGCTGCTATGGATCTGGATTTTGGCATATGAGATGGTGGGGACCCCATTTGGGTATCATAAATTCAAGGGAGGCTTCAGCTCGGAGTTTGTTGGGTTCCACATCAGGTACGACTTGTCTGAGGTTGGCATATCGAAGAAGAGGGGCGACTGGCTTGTTGATTGGATCGAAAAGGTTGGGGCAAACAAATATGTAGTTGCATCCAGGGAGTTTGTGGAGTTCCTGGGAAGGCTTGGATTTGTCTCGCAGTTACTCACTTGGATGAAACCCCACCTTTCTCCTCTATTCGCATGGGCATCAGTCACCTCCAAAGGCACTGTTGGCAGGCTCCCTGAAACGGTCATTTTGACCTTGCAATATATTCTTCATGAGCTCAGAGCGGAGTCCTATCTCGTTTCTGTCAAGCGGCCCTCAAATTTTGATGTGGAGATGTTTAGGACTGACGCCAAGTGCGCAGACAACTTCATAATTCTTGCTGGTTGGGAAATTACATCAAGGCGGTGGTTCTCACTGAAGATTGGGCCTGGTGATGCGCCGTTCTTGTTCAAGCCCACTGGGGAATCCCAGTGGGCATCTACTTCGGCCGAGCTGTTGGCCACCCTGGTGGCATTGGAAGCATTTGGCTGGCTTGCAAAAGATAGGTGCAGGAAGTCCCTCACGATTTGCTTGGTGGGGGGCACAGACAACAGGGCCAACGATGCGCTCACGGTCAAGAGAGCGACAACCAAGTGGCCCTTGATGGCTATAAACATGCAACTTTCGACAGCACTGGCAAAGGCAAGACTATCGTTGCGCCTGAGATGGAGGCCGAGGGAAGAGAATGTGGAAGCTGACGATTTAACCAATGAGCGTTTCTCTGGTTTTGACTTGGAGAAGCGCATTGCTATTTCCTGGCAAGATTTGGATTTGGACATTTTGCAATCATTGGTTCAGACACGGGACGAGTTTGAACAGAAGAAGGTGGAGGCAAGAGTTGGTGCCTCTAGCAGAACACCAGGGAAAAACAAGAAGTTCGAAAAGACCCCATGGTGAAAGGACCTACCGTGTTATGGGTCAGGTTGCTTGCAATCTCCTGAAGTGGGGGCCATTTGAGATTCAAAGCAATGCAATGTATTTGTTTTCACAACAGTTGATGCTGACTATGCGACAGTCAGCGATTCACTGGGACACCTGGATCATGGCCGCAGGGCCTTCTCAATGTCAAACATCTGGAGGCACCAATGACAAAGCTGGAGTGGCGTGAAATAGCACCACCTTGCGAGAAAAAGTCGCACCTGCGTTTGTCCACCACATTTCACTTGAGTTGCAGTCAGATTCAGTTTCGTTCCTTCATGTCAGCTGTGATTTCAAACCTTTTGGATGTTTGGACATTTGATTTGGCGAGTTTATTTCTTTCGGATGGTTGGTATTCACAACGTTTATTTGCGACGATTGTTTGGCGTTCTGGCACAATCTCTTGAGACCCTCACTACTCTACCAACGTAGCGTAAAGCGTAGGCATCATTGGGCTTGCCCAATGTGTCTATGCGGAACCCTGCGTTGGTCGGGTGGTGGTGGGGTTGTGGATGGTCTCTTGCCAATTTGGAAGTTCCTCACCTGGAAGTTCTTTGTGAGTTGATCTTCTAAACTTCTTCTTCCTGTTTCAGTTGCTCGATGGCCTCAACGATTTCAATTTGTATTGACTGCTTTATTTCGTTCCACTACTTCAGTGGGGATTCAATTTCACTGGCTGCTGTGATTTCGAGTTTTCATTTTCTTCGTGGACAGTTTCGTTTTCTGTGATGCTGTTGTTTGTATTTCAGACTTCAAGTTGCTCATCGCTTTGTTTTCCAATCAACTGCAACGCTGTCAGAGTCCATTCGATGTTCACTTGCGGATTTACAATTGCCTTGTCATGTCAATTTCATGCGGTATTTTGGATGCTTCTGTTTACAGAGTGTTATTGGCAGTTCAACTTTCAATGCTGTGCATTCCTCGTCAACTTGCACCTGTCAGCTTGATGATCAGATCGATTTTATTTTCCTTTGAAGCACTGGCTTAGTTTGAAAGGCCCAACCCAACCCACCGCTCTGGACGGTTTTCACTTGAACTGCCAACACCGTTCACGCTACAGCTTACTGGGCCATTTGAGATTCAAAGCAATGCAATGTATTTGTTTTCACAACAGTTGATGCTGACTATGCGACAGTCAGCGATTCACTGGGACACCTGGATCATGGCCGCAGGGCCTTCTCAATGTCAAACATCTGGAGGCACCAATGACAAAGCTGGAGTAGCGTGAAATAGCACCACCTTGCGAGAAAAAGTCGCACCTGCGTTTGTCCACCACATTTCACTTGAGTTGCAGTCAGATTCAGTTTCGTTCCTTCATGTCAGCTGTGATTTCAAACCTTTTGGATGTTTGGACATTTGATTTGGCGAGTTTATTTCTTTCGGATGGTTGGTATTCACAACGTTTATTTGCGACGATTGTTTGGCGTTCTGGCACAATCTCTTGAGACCCTCACTACTCTACCAACGTAGCGTAAAGCGTAGATCGAATTCTCTGGAATTGACTGTCGAGGAAGAGGCTGGAGATGTCATCTACTGGACTATAACTCGGCAGATGTATCATATCCGTGAGAAATGTCCTATCCATACAGCCACTTCGATGGGACGGACTGCAAGGAGCTTCGATGTCTGCCAGGTTTGAAGACCTGAGATTGGAGTGCCGGTTACCGTTAGCTCGACTGGATCGAAGTATCACAGAAGAGACTGTCGTACGGTGAGCAAATCAACGCAGTTGGAGTTGGTTCGGTGTCCATTTTGCTTCGATATCAAAGCTGAATGACTGAATTTGTAGTCGCACAAGTTCGAAAGGGAGTGTGAAAAATCATCCTATGTATAGCTAGCGTAGCGATCTTGTGCTTGAACTTAGGTAGTTGTTAGGTGTTTTGTAGTTGTAGTTTGTGGGCTTGAGTAGTTTGGACTTCGTTTTGTAGTTAGCAGGTGATTGTGATGTAGTTGGTCAATCTCATCTCATTACGTCACAAAGAGTTGTGACGTAGTTGCCATTTTTCGTTTGGATTTGCACGTTTTGAATGATTCCACACGAGAACAACTTGCACGAAACCAGTCGGAGAGTTTTTAGGAACCGAGAAACCGGTTTTGCACGTTTCTAGATTGGTAGAGTCGTTTTTGCATGACTAGATTTGTAGAGTTTTTGGAATTTCCTTAACTGGACTGGAATCCAGTTTGCTTTACCCACAGAAACTCACTTAGTTTCTGTGTTCTGAACTGTGTTGACCAACGTGAACGTTGGCTCAAGCCTGCGAGAGCGACAAGTGTGTGAGTGTGTCGCCGTGAGACGGCCTGGGAGAGTCGAGACTGCAGAAACGCGAAAGGATCACCGTTTGTTTGTGTTTTGGTTTGGGTTTACTTTGAGCACGAGAGGTTTGAAAGCGGTTTTCGCGATCTAACTTTGTGTGTCAAAGTTTTACGCGGAGATCAGAGTGCATTGCCAAGAATGCGTTCGGCTTGGTTCAAGCGTTGGACAAGCAGGGCCAGGGAGCTTAGTTGCCACAAAAGCAGCAAAGATTTTACAGCCTAGAGGATTTTTGTGTGGCGTGAGATTCTGCAGGATATGCGGTATCCTGATGTAGGAGTGGTTGTGGAGGTACTGAGCTGGTGGGGGAAGTTCTCCCATTTGGAATCTTTGAGAAAACGTTTAAGGCGGCTGAAACTACAGTGGAGAAACTTGTCGGAGCGGCAGAATCTGTCCGGTGCAAGCAGTGTTAAAGATGTCGCTCATTTGGGGATGCTGAAATTGACGAACTTGTTTTCCAGATTCAGGAAGAGGTTGAATTTGGTTGGGCAGTTGGACCGATAGAGTTGAAAGATGTTCCTAAAGGAGCAGTGATCAGTCGGAGGTTTGGCTTCAGACAACCTGGTAAGATACGCTTGATAGACGATCTCTCAGGCAGCAATCTGAACCAAAACGTGCAATGCGCTGAGTCGCCCAAACAGCATTCCATTGATTTTGTAGCTGCGTTGTTGTTGAGCATACTCAAGGAAGGTGGAACCTTCAGGATTAAAGGAAGGTCCTTGGACTTAAAAGCGCGTATAAGCAACTTGCCATAGCTGAATCATCACTGAACTTTGCCTTCGTAGTCACAAACAATCCGGTGAGAAAGCAGCCAGAAATATATCAGTTGCTGCGGCACCATGTGGAGCTGCTTCTTCGATGATTACGTCGTGTTTTGCAATGAGCACCATGTCAGTAGTACTGAGTCTTTGGTGGAGCTTCTACTTCAAGTGTTGGAAGGAAGTTTGCTGTCGAGGGTGATGAATTTTCGGCGTTGGGGGTAGGCATACTGCTTCATGATGCACATGAAGGAAAAATCTTTAATCTGCCAACAAAGGGAAACGGTCGTTGGAATTGATTGCAACGATAAAAGCTGTTCTGGACAAAGGACACATGTCAGTGGTCGATTCACAGAAACTGCATGGCAGAATGCAGTTTCCAGACGCCCAGATGTTCGGCAGGTTGGGCCGTTTGTGCATGAGAGCAGTGACCAGCATGCTTTCCCCTTCACTGGAAAGAAGTTGGAGGGTCAAACCATTGATGCCTGCGAAGGTTTCAATTTTCTTGGAGAATGCCGAGCCGAGATCTTTGACACTTTCTTCAGACAGCGTTTGGAATATATTTACGGATGCGTGCTATGAGCCTCAAAGAGATTCTTGGAAGTGCGGCTTCGGGGAGTGCTGGTGGACCCCTTTGGGAGGAGATTGTCCTTTTTCTCAGTTGAGCCAGTGGAGCTGTCGGATTTACGAAAGCAAAAGACCATTATCTTTGAAGCTGAGCTTTTTGGCTCTGGTTTTGACATTTTCGGTATGGAGAAGGGCGATTACTTTCTCTTCACTTGTTTGTTTTGTAGATAACTTTGCAAGAGACGTTGCCATTCTGGATGCGGCAGGAACGCAATAGCCAATTGTCTTATTGAATTTCTTCTGACACTTGAGATGTCTGCGAACGTCACCCCATGGGAGACGCGTGTGCCTACGCCGTCGAATGTTGCAGACGAGCCCTTAGGGGTGAAGTGGAGGTGCTAGCAAATCAAGGGCTCGCCAGAGTAGACCCCTCGAAAGAATTCGACGACATATTTGGGATCATAGCAGAACTTGCGGCTAAGGGGGGATCTGTTAAAATGCATGGATTGGATGTGGAAGCTACAGAGTGACAATTGGTTTGGTGACTGGAAGATGTCACAGTCAACAGGTCGAACATTCCCCTTGTCACCGCTGGAAAAGTTGGAGACCGGTTTCGGAAGCCGTGATGTCAGTTGTGCATTTCATTCGTTTCATTGATGTCCGGTTTGCACTTGGTTCACTTTGCGCTTATACTGCGGCTGTTGAAGTTTCATTCAATGATGTCATTGAAGCCACCCGTTCAACTTGTTTGTGCTGGGGTTTACACTTGGTTCAGTTCGGGCGTATGGTTCTTTTCCTCGCGAGGTAGGTAGCAGCCACAAGCTTAGAAATAAGTGAACGGTCAACGTGTTGATAGCTACTTATTTCTTTGCTTGTGAGAAACAGTGTTTCGTGCTGCCCCCTCCTCTTGTGCTTTCTCCTCCTGTTGAACAAACGCTTGTGCTATCCTTTGCAATACGCTGCAATCTCTGGAGCTGGGTTAAAGAATTGAACAAACGAACTTTGAACACAAATCATGTGCGTTCTTTATTTGCAGTTTGGATGCTGCACGTCAAAACATGTCGCAATGGAATCTGGATTTACATTTGGAGTTGGCATTTTCAGTGAACACAGCGGTGGCTATTATTTACAAAATTTGGACCAGTGATGCTTTTCAACGACGCCTTTTGGAATTGGGACCTCGCTACACTTATATGTTGTGTGAACTTTGGCTTTAGGGAGGGAGGAAGGTTCACCTCCTATACTGGGGGTAGTTTTTGCCCCCTCCCCCCTCTCCCCTGGCAAAGCCTACTGGCACGTTGTTTCAACATCTACATAGTTGTGCTTGACCGTTCAATTGTGCAGCCTTGAGCTGGAGAGCGCAATGAGTGGCAACATATGTGGCATTCGAGAGTATACCTCTCTTCTTGCTTGGGTCCCTACGGATCATTCGAACATATCTTCTACTTCCTGACTGTTGCTGCATTCGACTTCGACTTATTTGGTCGGGGGTCTGTTAAATGCATGGATTGGATGTGGAAGCTACAGTGTGACACTTGGTTTGGTGACTGGAAGATGTCACAGTCAACAGGTCGAACATTCCCCTTGTCACCGCTGGAAAAGTTGGAGACCGGTTTCGGAAGCCGTGATGTCAGTTGTGCATTTCATTCGTTTCATTGATGTCCGGTTTGCACTTGGTTCACTTTGCGCTTATACTGCGGCTGGTGAAGTTTCATTCAATGATGTCATTGAAGCCACCCATTCAAGTTGTTTGTGCTGCGGTTTACACTTGGTTCAGTTTGGGCGTATGGTTCTTTTTCTCGCGAGGTAGGTAGCAGCCACAAGCTTAGAAATAATTCACGCCAATGTTCCCAGGCGGATGGTGGGTTCGTTGTCAGATCATGTTCACATTTATGTTGATGCATCCTTTAAAGACTCGGGATATTCCGGGCTTGGAGGGGCCTTGTTTGACAGCAGCGGCCGCATCCTTGCCTTCAGAGAAGAGTTGGATAAAGAGTTTCTTGAACTTGCCAAAGAAGAAAACCAGTCCAATGTTTTACAGGAAATGAAGATGCTCGCGCTTTTGATTTCAATAGAAATCTGGTGTCCAGTTTGGCAGGGCCACAAAGTGGTTGCTTTTACTGACAGTGAAGCCGTAAAGTGCAGCTTCCTTAAGACCTGGTCTCATAAGAATCCATGCAGCAAACTCTTTGCTAGGATTTTCTTTGTCGAAGAAAGTAACTTGTGTCCCGTGTGGCTCAAAAGAGTACCGAGCCAATCAAACCCCGTCGACATTTTGTCGAGGCGCCGAATGGCCAGTTGGATGGGTATCCAAAACACACCAGTTGACTTCAGACAGTTTTGGAAGCACGGCGTCCATAGTCTGGGGTAAGCGCACGACATGCGTGAATCGTCGACCTATCCCCACTCGAAGTGGGGCGGCGTGGTCGATGGGACTGGTTGTGTGTGCTGTTGTTGAGTCACATGATCGCATTAACACTGCAGCAAGTGGTTCATAGCACATAGGATTACTCTCATGGAGCACACTAGAATTTTATGTGTACGAACCATGAAGAATGTAACGTTGTTACACGTCTGCAGTTTAGTGAATCTGTGGTTTCTGCATGTCCGTCCACGCCCTTTTGGTTCACAGCTTCGAGTGAAGCTGAATTGGCAAGGACCACAGATTTCACAGAAAATGACATGCACAACAGTTTTGACATCAGTTGATATAACATGTCTCAACATGTCAAGAGTCAAAACCATGTCATGTCATTACAGCTCTCAAGTACATATCTTTTTCATTTTTTGTCCCACCGGCTGTTTCCCTCCCAGCGATTGCGAATGGCCCAGCTTGCTCTGCCTGATACTTCTCTGCAAACAAATTGCGCCTGTGTTGGCTACACAGAACAAAATTCATCGTTTGTCAGAGGTTGAAGCACAGCTTACTGAATTATAAGATCACCTCGAAGATGTTCACATGACCCGTGTTGTTCAGCAAGTCTCCGTCCTCCGCTTGCAATTGCGCCCAATCAAAGCTCAGCTCCGAGTGCAGCTCACCATCCAAATGGTGCAAGTGTCAAATCAATTGCGCAATCATTTCCGCCGATGGAATCGACTTCCTTTGGTTGACTTGCAGTTCTGTTGACCAGCCTCTTCGATCTTTTTGTTCCGAATCTATGTATGTCGCCTGGCTTGGCAAGCGCCTACCCAATGCCAGCGCGCGACACGCGTGAATCGTCGACCTATCCGGACTCATGAAAAAGAAGTATGGCGGCGTGGTCAACAGGACATTTTGCGAGTGCTGTTGTTGAGTCACATGATCGCATTAAACACTGCAGCAAGTCGCTCATAGCACAAAAGACAAGGATAATTGCCCCAAGAGGTTTGTTTCAACAACGGGTCAACAAAACTTATAGAAATCATTACGCAGGAAGGGCGCAACCTATCCCAACGACAGCCAAATTTGCATTTCATTTCTCTATTTTCAGTGTTTTCGCAACAACATATACGTATTGTTAGTTAGTGATCTGCATCGCCGTTGTTGACTTATTGAAACGTTTTGGTGCATGGGTGGAAAACATGCACGAACATGCAAAACAGACAAACATTCCAACTTATCCACGTACACACACATACACACACTCCATGTTCAGTTTGGAACAGAAACAACAACACAGTGCAATAAACAAATCCAATTCGTTTGCACTCAGGTCTTGAACTTATATAGTTAAACAAAAATAATTTGTTGTTTTGGCAGTTGCCCTCAAATTGTTGTGGAAAAATGATTGGAATTGAAGACGCAACGATGCCCATTGTTCCATGCGCAAACGGCACCCAACCATTGTACTGCAATTCATTGCAATCGACACCTGCATATGCTTGTTGTCCACCCCAAATACAATTTTCATCAAAATGGTATTGTTGAATTATACATTGACCATCTGATGATAAACTCTGGAGCTCTTGAAATGCCAAAATTGAGAATGTTTCAATGTTTCAATGTTTGAATGTTTGAATGTTGGTATGTTGGTATGTTATTACGTTTGTATGTTTGTTTCTATGTTTGTTTCAATGTTGGTGTATATTGTCACATGTTCATGATATTTGGTCGCAACACCGGTTTCCAAATTCTTCTGACGCACATGCATCAGGCATTTGGTTTGTTTGTGATGCATTGTTTCTGTAAATTTCCGCCCACGATGGAAACCCAAGTTTTTTTGGCATTGAACAGTATCGAAGGTTGGACCGTTGAACTTTATGTGCAGGTGTAGCAAACAATCATGTGTTCACCGCAGGTTTACAGTTCAAACATTTTTTTTTGCCTGTTCTGATGATGGGACGATGTTTCCCTTGTCTATGCCTACCTGGCCGTTCTCAAAGTGGACTCCTTGTGTGGTTGGAAGAGACTGGAAACGTGCTAGGTTTGCCATGCAGACACGGCATTCGATGACCGAGGTCTGGGCAGCCAAAATTTGTTGCAGGTGCAACGGTTGCAACGTGGTAACAGTTGCACAGTTCGGTCTGTGAATTGGTGAAAACAAATGAAATTGAACACATTAAGCAGAAATTAAACACAGAGAAACACATTGTAACAAAAGGGAAACAAATCAGAACATGTTTAGTTGTTCCCACCATCGGCAGGCAACAACAAGGGCATTGACACGCTGCCCATTGGTCGCCCTGGTGGTGCACAGGCAGCAGTTTCAATTTGTTGAGTTCGTGTCAATTTTTGAAATGGACCATGGAATGATCACTGGATTCAGTCATGCAGGTTATCCCAGCCGTTACACCTCTTGGATGGCAGAAGCAGGCCATTGTGCGGGCCAAACGGAAATCACATTTCAATGCATATCAGATAGTTCTAAATACAAATTTGATAAAACTGCCATGATGTTCCGAGTAGATACATGTTATATATATATACATACACATAGAATAAATGGTAACTTTCCTAGAATGAACATCAATTATCAGTTAACTTGCACATTGCAATTTCTTGTGTGCGGTTTGGTGGATCTCAAATGTTAGTGGAGACTCCTCAAGATGAAAGGGTCCGGCACGTGCAGGCCATCATTACGGAGACACTGGAGAAGGATGATGAACTTCAGCGGTTTGTTGATTGTCGGGCACAGAAACACGGATCCGCAATACTCGCATGTTTGTTTTCTGACAGGAGAAGGAACGGCAAAAGAAAAACTTTCCAACAATCTTCAAGCTGGATGGCTCAGCCGTCGATTACACGTTGGACACCTTCACATTCCCAGAACTCCAAAAGTACAATCTGTGTATTCTATGTCAAGGAAAGATGAACAACCAGAGGAGGTTCAGGCCTTTGTTTGCTCGAAAGATTTGGTGACAGATTAGCACACGTGCATGCGATGTTCATTCGTCATTCAAACACATTTCTTGAAATTCTTGCATTTCTGGATGTTGATGCATGTTGATCATGTTCGTTCAGGTGCTGTTGTGTTGATCTTGTTGAGCTGATGTATGGGTGAATTCTTTGGTGAACAAGGTGTGGCCTAGTTCCGGCATGCCAAAGCCTGCTGCCACGATGCCAAAAGCGTCAGCACCCAAAGGTATTTAAAGGCAACCAATTTGTTGTGCGCAATTTAATGAGTAGTTGTTACATGTTATTACTGTTTACTCTTCATTCTTTGGATTATATACATCGTGAAAATGAATCCATTCGATACTTTTCTGAATTTTGTTTTGTCAAGATCTCAGGAAGACTCCAGTGGTTGTGCCCGCGCGGATACCAATGTGCAAGAGCTTTCCAGCTAAGGCAGATGCTTTGATTTGATCCATTTGTGTTGCTTTTCCAGCTGGTTCAGACAGAACTCTATCTATTGTGGTCTTGACCTGTTAGACCTATATACTGTAGTGATTTGGATTCGGTGCCGGTACTGGATGCAACTCTCCTTGCAGTCACCACTTGCAGTTCTCAAGCCTTGTCCGAATTTTCTCCATCACCCACTGACTACCATCGGGCAGGCAACACCGCCGTGGCAAGAACAGAGGTCTACGGCAGTGCCCTTGGTACTCTTCTTGGCAGTGGCATGAATTACTCAATGTGGATAACAGGTGTTTGCTTGCTCTCCCACTTGAACACTTTGACATTCATCTCTAGTCAACCAGGTAGCTGCCATAAGTCCGTATAGATTGTTGTTACTCCAACAACATCTCAACTGTCTTACACTCACATTCGGACCATTGTCGTTTCTCCTGGATGTTCCAATGACTATACTTGGAGTCTACAGTCCATTTTTGACCTGGTGAGCCGCGCTGCGCATCCAAAGGATTTCCTTCTTGTCACAGGCAGACTGATGTCACTGATGTACTTTGATCGCTTTGATCGCTTTGATCCTGGGTGACTTCAGTGACTTCATGATTCATGGGACTTCAAGGGGGAAGATGTCATTAGACGAACAAAAATCCTTCGCAGCTTTGGTTCAAAGAGCACCACAGTCCCACAGCCATGGCTATTTGGCAGGTGCGCAAGGGAACAGGGATTGTCCACCAAAAAGCAAGTTGAGTCTTCTTCTCCTTTGTATTCCAACATGCTAGGATTTAGTTTCAGTCATCAAGGCCAGTTTCGCTTGGCTTGCAACAGGCACACATTAAACCCGTGGGCAAGGGTGGTGCCTTCAACTCAAAGACTCTCGGCAAAAGAGAATTTGATGACAGGATACAGGATACCAGGATGAAGTGAGCGTCATTCTGAACATTCTGAACTTGAGAGTTTGCACTGCAGATCTTTGTTTTTTTTCACATTATTATTAATTATTATCATTAATTTTTCACATTATTTCTCCACACTTGAGCTATCTTGAGCTGGGACTCCCTGGGACTCATGCCAGATTCGTTTTATTCGTTACGAGGTCTTCATGGCAGACACCAGTTAAAGGTGCCGACAAAGGTGGCAAGGCAGAGCGCTGCGGGAATTGAAATGGAACTTTGAAGGATAAGAGGTTGAGGGATAAGCAGACTTAAAGAGACTTAAAGAGACTTAAGGAGAAAGAGTGAGAAAGAGTACTGCAACGTGCTGGGCAACGTGCTGCAAAGTGTGCAATAACAGAGGGGTTGAGGGTTACGGTTGAAAGGACGCTTGTCGGAAGAGAGAGGCCAAAAAGGAAACAACATGTGAGTGACAAAATGTGAGTGATTGAGTATTGATTGAGTGAGTGTAAGAGTGAATGAGGGAGTGAAAAAAAATGTATGGTTCTGTCAACTGACTGCATACAGTATATAATTGTTTGGTTTAGACAGCAAATATGTGCCAAAGCGGTTGATTGATGGAGTGAGTGATTCGACGAATGGTGGATGAATAGATGGATATTGCAGCCAAACGTACAGCTGATATCAACAGACTGTCTTAAAAGAAGTACATAGCACATTCGAATACCGGACCTGTGCATTCGAGAACCTTGGTGGAGCCATTGCGATGTTTTTTTTGCAACCTTGAGATAGCAACATACTGGTACATAAATCTATTTGCACTGGCAGCCAGCAACAATTTGTCACAACCATTTCAAAAGGATTTGCAACAACAACTCACGCATGAAGCATTGCTTCGTAGCAAACATCCGCGAGCAGTATGTCCAAACATGATATGTACAATATATGTACTGTGACATGAACATAATTACCAGATAGTTCCCGGCCGCTCCAGGGCGGAAGTTTCGACACTGAACTGTCGTGGCTAAGAAAAACATAGTATTTGAATGTATTTGATTGATTGAATGACTGAAGGAATGACTGACTGCATGATTGAATAGGGAAGTGGCGACAGAAAGACTGGTTCACTTCTTCTCGTAGCCATCTCTGCTCTGATTCCCCAGTCCTTGTTTGACTTGTTTGAAGTATATATATATATACATATATCTCTCTTTTCTCAGCTGTCTCTTCCCTGCGGTTACCTCTTCTTGGAGCTACATGAGCTACTGTACTTCTTCTCTGATGCACTTCTTTTTGCGCGCTGCCTGTTGTCTGAACTACCTCTTCTGTTATCTGGAAGTGGTGCGCCGGTTTTTGTCGGCCCTAAGAAAAGGAATGGAACCAGAACCTTGGAACCCTTTCTGGTGTCGGGTTGCAAAACTGGGTTAATTCTGCTTTGCGGCTTCTAGATTTACCAGAGTTTTTTTTTGGTATCACTACGATGGAGCAACAAAAGGGAAATACAACAGCTCCCAACACTTGTGCCGTGGAAGGATGTGATCCCCGCATGATTGGAATGCTTTGCACTCTGTGTCGCGTGTAAAAGATCCCATGAAGGTTCTGGACGGCCATGGTGTTTCTTAACAAAATGGTTCCAACAAAGCTACACACTACACGACTACACTGCACTCTACCAACCGGCAATGGTCTTGATAGCTTTTCAAAAGATGCTTGCTTTTCAGGGCGGCGGCATGATGAATACCATGGGCAAAGGTGGCAAGGGTGGTGGTGCTAAGGGCCCTTTGCCACTTGAAAGCATTGGATTTGGTGTGTCATGCCATCCACAATACATGGGTTCCCGCTGTACTTTGCTTAACAAACCTAACAAACCTCGACAAATTGGTTGACATCAAGGTTTTGTTAATTGGCCAAGTGAGTACGTAGGTTTTCTTTTCTACCTCACGGTCACGGTGCATTTGTCGAATTTTCCAATCATTGAATCTGAATTGAAATGGAGGCCAGCAGATGAGTTAGTTTCTTAATCCTCTACCTTTCTCAAGTGGTGACAGCATTCAGATATGATATATTATAATATATATATATGTATATATATATATTATACGCTATATGTATATATATATACGCTATACATATATACACAATATATATATATATATCTATATACACTCTACATTATCACTATATATATATACAATATATATATATATATTGTATATATGTATATATCTATATATGTATATATCTATATATGTATATACAAACTATATATACACACTATATATATAGATACATACACTAAATAAACATCAGTATCAATATAATATATATATATCAATATAAATATAAATATATACACTATGTATATATATATATACATACATACAGACATACAGACATACAGACATACAGACATACACACATACACACATACAGACATACAGACATACAGACATACAGACATACAGACATACAGACATACAGACATACAGACATACAGACATACAGACATACAGGCATACAGGCATACAGGCATACAGACATACAGACATACAGACGTACAGACATACAGACATACAGACATACGGACATACGGACATACGGACATACGGACATACAGACATACGGACATACAGACATACAGACATATACACATACAGACATACAGACATACAGACATACAGACATACAGACATACAGACATACAGACATACAGACATACAGACATACAGACATACAGGCATACAGGCATACAGACATACAGACATACAGACATAAAGACATACAGACATACAGACATACGGACATACGGACATACGGACATACGGACATACGGACATACGGACATACGGACATACGGACATACGGACATAGGGACATACGGACATACGGACATACGGACATACGGACATACGGACATACGGACATACGGACATACGGACGTACGGACGGACATACGGACATACGGACATACGGACATACGGACATACGGACATACGGACATACGGACATACGGACATACGGACATACGGACCTACACACCTACACACCTACACACCTACACCCCTACACCCCTACACCCCTACACGCCTACACGCCTACACGCCTACACGCCTACACACCTACACACCTACACACCTACACCCCTACACCCCTACACGCCTACACGCCTACACGTCTACACGCCTACACACCTACACACCTGCACACCTACACACCTACACACCTACACACCTACACACCTACATACATACATACCTACATACCTACATACCTACATACCTACATACCTACATACCTACATACCTACATACCCACATACCCACATACCCACATACCTACATACCTACATACCTACATACCTACATCCCTGCATCCCTACATCCCTACATGCCTACATGCCTACATGCCTACATCCCTACATACCGACATACCGACATAGCGACATACCGACATACCGACATACCTACATACCTACATACCTACATACCTGCATACCTACATACGTACATACGTACATACGTACATACGTACATACCTACATACGTACATATCTACATACGTACATACGTACATACGTACGTACGTAGGTACGTACGTACATACGTACATACGTACATACGTACATACGTACATACGTACATACGTACATACGTACATACGTACATACATACATAGAATACGGTAGGTCAGAAGGCTCAGTAAGACTCAGCCTGGCTCATCCTGTTTCACTGCAAAAAGAATTAGAGGTTCTTGGAGAACAAGCGCATAAGATATATAACTTATAGCAGTATGATGTACATATGTGAATGTATGTATATATATATATGTATATGATATATGCATGTAATATGATCTATGTATATATTATATATTGTACGCCCAAGTTATCAGCATTTTGTGCATGTTGCCTCAGCACCTAAAAGTTTCTTTCGCCTGTTGCACCGGTTCCATAGAATATCCTTTTTGAATTGATCAAAAATTAAATTGTGGTCATAGCAACCAGACATTTTTAAAACTGCAAGCTTGGCCCTAGCCTTCAAGAACTCTGCAGATTTTGCTTCGCTTGTCAGGATTGACCATTGCACACGAAATCACAAAAATATGTTTTAAATTGTTTTAATATGTTTTTATTATTCCCCTATGAATCAATGTACCTAGAGATCCTGGCGGATTTCGCAGGCAGACTCTCTGAGATCCATGTTTCCCTTTATCTTCAATCTTCGGTGCGTAGTAACGTAGTAACCAAAGCTTTTTCCCAAGCTCTGAGGATGATGATGGCGGCCCTGATGAAAGGCCATCCTATGTGATGTGTGGGGATTGACGGTGCTGTTTTGGGGAGAACGAAGGTCAGCTTGCATGAACACATGCAGTCTAGTTGATTTGTGGTTGGTGGGGGAGTCTTCAAACTGACAGTCAGACTCACATCCAGCAACTCACACCTATGCAAAATATCTTGTTTGTGCAGGAAACCAATTTGCAGGATTTATTGTAAGACATGCAGCAGACATGGCAGCGACCGAGAATGAGACCGTTTAAGCAGTGTGCAGCAAGTCAAATGTTTTTTTCTTGCTGGGGATTGTCTAGACTATAATATGTTATATATATATATGTATATATATATATGTTGCAAAACACAACGTCACATATATTATGTGAAATAAAACACATTTTTTTGACTTGAAGAGATGTATTATATATATTTATATTCTATTTCATACATTGTAATGAATAAAACTTTATTTACATAATAGTTATGATACGGTCAAACGCCATCGTTTGCCCGGACCGGAAAGGATCATCATCGTCGTAATGTAATGATGATGAACAAGCTCCCAAAATCCCCCCGGGCTAAATGTCAATGATATGTATCTTTCAAGGGTCATGGGGAAGAATCTGGCATGTAATGATGAGGAACAAGCAGGATACTGCAGATACCCCCCCGAACCCCCCAACATAAATGGTAATGATATGTATCTTTCATTTGAGCTGGCTGATTTTCAATGATACCTTAACTTCTAGTTCCTATGCAACATTAAAACTTACAAACTAAATGTAAATGACTATTTCTATTTTTGGTCATTTCATACCTAACAAATTACCAGTAGTGCCGGACAAGGCGGTGGCGGAAGTTTCCAAGATAGGACACTATAGGAGAGGGGAGTTATTGTGATGCATGGATGGCAGAGCGAATCCACTGATGGATTTTTGGAGTGGTTGCAATGGTTGCAGTGGTCACGTCACCCACAATTGCTGGATGTAGTGTGCTGTAGTGCAGCTGTAGTTGTAGTTCTAGTGTAGTGGAGTTGTAGTTGTAGTGTAGTGTAATTAGTGTAGGGTAGTTGTAGTTGCAGTTGCAGTTGTGGTGTGGTGCAATTAGTGTAGTGTGTATTGTAGTGTAGTGGAGTGTACTCTAGTGTTGTGAACCGTAGAACCGTTGTGTGGTATAGTATAGTCTAGTCTAGCGTAGTGTAAAGTAGTGTATGTGTAGCTGTAGTTGTAGTTAGTGCAGTGTAGTGTAGTGTAGTTGAGTGTCGTGTAGTGTAGTGTAATTAGTGTAATTAGTAATTAGTGTAGTGTAATTAGTGTAGTGTAGTGCAATGTAGTTGTAGTTGTAGTTGTAAGTTGTAGTTGTAGTTGTAGTGTAGTGAAGTTAGCGTAGTGCAGTGTAATTAGTGTGGTGTAGCGTAATGTAGCGTAATGTAGTGTAGTTGTAGTTGTAGGTGTAGCCGTAGCCGTAGTCGTAGTTGTAACTGTCATCTATCTATCTGTCTACCTGCAAGCTTGAAAACGAAGCTATTCTGCGAGATTTCCTCCATTTTCGAAGTTGACAACATCAAAAACGGAGCAATTCTGCGAGACGTCCACAATTTTCCAACTTGACAACATCAAAAACGAAGCAATTCTGCGAGACTTCCTCCATTTTGGAAGTTGATAACATCAAGAATCAAAAGCGAAGCAATGCTGCGAGACTGCCTTCAAAAATGGAAAGTTGAGTGCAGAGCTGACAGCCTCGTACCAATGCGTTTTGCGATTTTTCGACTCCACCTGTCTAAATTACTGCGCCTGCCACGAAAAAGTGATGCCAGGTCATACGAAGTGCTGCACCTGTCACGCGAAATCATCTCAGCAAACCTGAAGATCTGATGCTCCAAAATGCAACCCTTCTCAGGAAATCAGCGCATCTCTGATGAACATGTGGTGTTTTTATTTTGACTTGGGCATGTGCTTCGCGCCACAACGCCGTGCACTTTATCAACATCTCAACTTCCAAAAGTGTTCGGAACCTGGTGTATTTTGCGCATTTTGCCTTCGAAATGTGCTTCGCGCCACAACGGCGTGCAATTTTTCATCTCTCATCTCCCCAGACGGCTCCGCACCCGCTGCTTTAGCGAGCTCACTTTTCGACCCTCCGGAGCCACAAATCATTGGAAAAACAAAGTGTTTCGCGACTGTCCTACCTTTTCGCGCACCTGCATCTTCTGTCTTTTGACTCTTTCTCTTCTCTGACTTTTTCTTCTTCTCTTCTCTTCTCTTCTCTTCTCGTCTCTTCTCTTCTCTTCTCTTCTCTCCTCTTCTCTTCTGACTCTTCCCACCTCTGCTTTTTCATCTGTGCCTATTGTCGGAAGTTTGACTTCTAAACTTCCTTCGACCAGTATCATTACGCGCTGACACCATCGTTTGCCCAAGAATTCAAAGGCCACAGCATGTACATATATCTTAAGATAATTATCAGCGCATGTTGATCCGCATAGCATGATCATATATATATATATACACATACATATAAATACATTTAATGGGATATTGATCAGATTAAAATATAGATGCATGGAAATTGTGCAATGAATGGATACATATCATACCATGTGGGGTCTCTGTTGTGTTTTAACAACCAACTAATTAATCATGCTGATTCAATGTTCATCCATTCATCCATATCTGAAGTTCATGGCAACATTGACACTTCTCCGTGCCGCAGTAACATGCAGTCGCGGCCCAAAGGGAATGAAGGCTTGGCAGCTCTTGTTGGATTAGCTCACGCCAGCAGAACGGGCCCGTCTCATCTGCGCAGCGGCGGGATTCTGCCGAGAAGTTCAGTGGGTCAGGACGGTAGCCCGGAATACTTACGGAAACATTAAGAGATGCTACAGCAAATTACTTGTATCATTATCGACGGAAGTTTAGAAGTCAAACTTCCGACAGTATGGACAGATGAAGGGCAGAGGTGGGAAGAGTCAGAGAAGAGAAGAGAAGAAGAAAGAGAAAGAGTCAGAAAAAAGAAGATCCAGGTGCGCGAAAAGGTAGGACAGTCGCGAAACACTTTGTTTTTCCAATGGTTTGTGGCTCCGGAGGGTCGAAAAGTGAGCTCGCTAAAGCAGCGGGTGCGGAGCCGTCTGGGGAGATGAGAGATGAAAAATTGCACGCCGTTGTGGCGCGAAGCACATTTCGAAGGCAAAATGCGCAAAATACACCAGGTTCCGAACACTTTTGGGAGTTGAGATGTCGAACAATTGCACGCCGTTGTGGCGCGAAGCACATTTCGAAGTCAAAATGTACAAAGCACACCATTCTCGGACCACTTTTGGAAGTTGAGATGTCGAACATTTGCACGCCGTTGTGGCGCGAAGCACATTTCGAAGTCAAAATGTACAAAGCACACCAGCTTCGGACCACATTTGGAAGTTGAGATGTTGAAAAAGTGCACGCGGTTGTGGCGCGAAGCACATTTCGAAGCCAACATGTTAAAATCACCACATGTTCGGACCACTTTTTGACGTTCAGATGTCGTTTCGCGTGGCAGGCGCAAGGGATGGTGCACCTTTTCAAAAGTGAACAAGACATGAGGGTTTTGTAGCATTTCCAAAAACGATGACAGGCGTGGGACATTTGAAGAGGATCTGCCAAGATGAATTTTCCGTGGCAGGCGCACTAATTACAAGAGACATGTTCATCAGAGCTGTTAGGAGGTCGGGGCGCTGATTTCCTGAGGGGTTGCATTTTGGAGCATCAGATCTTCAGGTTTGCTGAGATGATTTTGCGTGACAGGTGCAGCACTTCGTATGACCCGGTATCACTTTTTCGTGGCAGGCGCAGTAGTTTAGACAGGTGGAGTCGAAAAATTGCAAAACGCATTGTTACGAGGCCGTCAGCTCTGCACTCAACTTTCCATTACGCCTAACTACATCTAGTCACACCAAATTACATCTAATTACATCTAATTACACTACACTTCACTACCCTGCACTACATTACACTACACTACACCCACTACACTACACTACAGTACGCTACACTACACGAGACTACACTACACTACACTGCACTACACTGCAACTACAACTACAACTACAACTACAGCTACAACTACTTTACAGTGCACCGCACTAGACTACACTACACTATACCACACTAGAGTACGCAACGCCACAGTACACTACACTAATTACACCACACCACAGCTACAACTGCAACTACGCCACACTAATTACACTACATACAACTACAACTCCACTACACTACACTGCAACTACAATTACAACTGCGCTACACCACGCTACATCCAGCAGTTGTGGTGGGGTGAGCACTGCAACCATTGCAACCACTCCAAGAATCACAACTCCGACCACCTTTCGGTCCATCAGTGGATTCGCTCTGCCATCCGTGATTCACAACAACCAACCTCTCCTATAGGTTTCCTATTTTTGAAACTTCCGCCGCCGCCTTGTGCGGTACTACTGGTATAATATTTACTGTAAGATGATAGTATTTCATACATGTAAGGCACAGAATGTAATATAGTAAGCACTGAAGTACAATTCAGGAACCTTCTTGTAATACAATTTAATTGATTTATTCCTTGGCTTTTTGGTTGTGGATAAAGTCTAACTTCTGGGGATTGGCCTGCCCTAGTTATTGTACCAAACTGAGCTTTGGACTTTTGGCTTTTTGCATCCTCCTGGGCTGGCTTGGTGGATTTCAGTCTTCTTGCCTGCTGGTGTGGTGGCCGCTTGGATTTCCGGCACTGTTCCTGAGCTTGCGCGTGCCTCTGTTCCCCAGCTTGCTCCTCGCGCCCACATCTTCTCATCCCATTTGCACGAGTCCGCCCAAGACGGAGAAGTCAAGCTTGAAATCACCCTCTCAGGGGTGCTGTGTTGGGTTGCTCTCCTTGTTTCCAGAAGGTTCAGTACGTTCCGACTCCTTTGAAATTGTCACCCCTGCAGGTACTCCATGTTACTCCTGTCCCTTCTCCTTCTCGTGGCCCTCCGCTTGAAACTCACAGTGTATCCTCCAGA